TATCCACGACGTGTGGCCTTCTGTTGTTACTCTCAGTTCTTCTCCGAGCAGCTTCTATCCTCCAGAAAACGGGGCACTCAGGTAAGGTTGGGCAACACACCATTCCATATCTGAGTGGCACAGACCTTGGGGGCTATCTGTACCACTTCACGTGGTGTCCCTCCAGTGAGTTGTCTCATCTAGAAAAGTCACAGCTGCTCCCTGCTCCCAGGAGCATTAATGTATACCCAGAGAAGATGGAGAGAGGTTTACATCAGGGGTGTAATGTGAGAAGCAAAGTGGAAGAGCAAGCCAGATCTAGACCCCAGAGAGAAGAGCACAGGGCACTCACTGCCTGGAACCTCAGAAGCCAACACAGGTCCAAGGAAAGAAAACTCTAACATCACCAGGCAGGTGGTGACCTAGCAGAAATCCTTATCTGAGAGGCAGCTTTGGCTGAATACACAGATGAAGGAACCAAACAGGACTTTGAATCTGTGAGTGGACTCAGCACTCATTGTCCTATCTTTGAGCAGACACTGAAGAATGAGGCAGTGTCCTTCTAGAAAATGCTGCTTTGTTTCTAACAACCAACGGGTGCAGAACCAGCAGATGTGGAGGGTCTAGGGCCTAGAAAGCCTTCCTACCTGGACTCAATGTCCTTACCAGAGGTCCTAGGTTTCTGGTAGCAAGCCCAGGACCCCTCCACTATGGCCAAGCAGAGAAAGTCTCAGGTACCACAGGAGTGGGCACCCCTACTTTTTCTGAACAACAGCATTGCCACCCTGCAGTGCCTATTCACTGCGACAGACCTGTGACACACCCTTCCTGGACCTCAGCACCTGGTGGAACCTCACAGGTCGGTTTTCCTCTTGGTTCAAGCTTTCTCCTCATGGTTCAATCCTCGCCGAACAAGAAGAGCTGCACCACACAGGCCTTGCTATTTACTGGGTCATGAGAGCTGACTTAATTTATGATTAGTGACTTGAGGCTAGTCAAATGCTGGTGAGCTACTTTATTCCTAAGAACATTAGGGTACCATTTCTAATAGCAAAATATTGCCACCCATTGAAAAGTTCAATAGATGGAAGGGACTAAAGGAATGTACTAGATATTATATAAATTTTAAGGAGAATGTGGAGCTGACACAGTCTCCAGACTAAAAGAGAGAAAGAAGATCAAGACACAGGCCAGAGCAAATCACACACATAGTTGGCTTTGAAGACTGTGCACGGGCACTGTGAGTTCCACAGGGCAAGGGAGGGCAGGCATGGACACGCTTCTCATACTTTAACAGTATTACTCTGTGTACATAATCATTAATTTCTAACACTCATTTCTAATGTAAAAATGTTCACTGATTCCTTCAGCAAAAGCTAGTTGAAATATTTTTAAAGGCATGATGTAAGATTTGGGAGATGTAACAGGACACAGAATGTTCTCTCTCTCTCTCTCTCTCTCTCTCTCTCTCTCTCTCTCTCTCTCTCTCTCTCTCTCTCTCTCTCTCTTTCTCTCTGTCTCTCTCCCTATCTCTCTCAAGAACAACAGGGTAGAAGGACTAATGATCACTGTGCCATGGTCACTGGTGACCACACACCATGCCTGGATAATAAAATGAAGTCTCAATTTGCTGAGTTCTCCAGTGTGGGTTGCTTAGCCCCTCCATGGGCATCTTCTGAGAGATGCTGCCTGTTCACATCCACTTTTTTCCCGAGGATGTCAGATACAAACAGCATTGGGCACCAGAGATTGTGTTCCTCTAGGCAGTCTGGCAACTAAAGCACCCTCCATTTGGGTCCTCAAATGTCCTGATGGCTGTCAGGATTCTAAGGACCCACTGTAGACGCTGGAGATTCCTAGGGTGGGGCTATGAGCCAGATGCATAGGCCTTGGCTCGGAGAGGCTTCAGAGGCATACAGGAACTCTTGTGAATGTGAAGCTGTGCACTGCGTGAGAAGCAGGGATGTCTGTCTCTGGCCCAGCATTTCCCATTTTCTGCCATTATCATGAAGCTGTGACTGGCTACTGTCAGTCGGCTTGCCATCAGGGAATAACCTCAAGGCCCCCCAGTTCCTCCCATAAGTCCAATACTCTTTGTTTAAAACAAACTAAGGCCCACTGTTCAGTACCTTCCTTCACCTGGTTCTAAGCTGACTGTAACTATCACAATTCCTTTGGCAAACACTACCTAATTTTGCAGGAAGGGGTTACCAAGGCATGCCAGCCTAACTTTTGCTCTGCCAAGGCCTGGAGTGACCACGGATGCGGACATGAGATGATAACAAGTCACAGGAAGGTTCCTATGCTGACTTCCTGGAGGTCATTCCTTCACCCTCAACCATCTGTGACCTTAGGCTCCATAGCCACATACGGTCAAGATTAAATGTGTCTTAGCAATTAATCAGAATTAAATTACAGAACTCCAAATACCTCCACAGCTTTCTGAGTCCTTAGTATAATCCTTTTTAAAACTGACATTGGTTTTATAGGGATTTATTACATCTTTTTGTTTTGTTTTCTTGATTCATCATATGGAAAAGTGGAAGAGTTCCATGTCAGGGCTGTGGAAATTACTTTGCTAGCACTGGAGCTACTTTATTTCTAATTTATGATGTTCTGTTACACCAGTTCCACACTGCTACAGGACAGGAAGGCAGCTCTCACAGATGCTAGGAGCTCAGCGGTGTCACTTCTGAGTTCATGAGGACATGTCCCGTGGCCCTGTCCCCCCAGAAGTGCTCCCTCAGCGCTGGCTCTGAGCAGCCTCTGGCTCCCATCGCCTGTAGCATCTTCATCCTGGTAACCTACTGCTATTTATATTCTTGGCATTGGAACCCTGCATATTTCAGAGAGCAGACACAGGACTGGGGACACAGGCTGTCTCTTCTGAGAGCTGCACAGTGGCTGGTCTGATGGTCAGCTCTGCTCTCCTGAGGGTGGCTGGCCAGTGACTGAGGAAGGTAGATATATCAGATATACACATACTTCTTCTGTAAGCTAATACTGAAAACAGAAGCCCTCAATGTAAAATGTCCAAGTAGGCATCCGTCCTTGCAAGAAAACCAGCGAGGTTTTTCTGTACACCAAACCCGGGAGAAATCCTACAGACTTGATCTACGTGCCTATGCCAGCCAAGCACTAAGGACAGCCGAGTAGTTTTCACAGACTCCACCTAGGCTGTTCATGCAGGTTGCCCTCTGGGAACAACCCAGGAAGCTTGTCGTCTCAGGTGCTGTCTTTGAGAGAGTCACCCATCTGGGGTCTCCAGCCTAGGAGCTCAGCTACAGCAGTTCTGGTCATCACTGGCCACAGAGGTCTGCCCAGCTCCCGTAAAAGTCTTACTTTAATTTTATTCTTATTAAAAAAAGATTTGTTTCTATTTTATGTATATGAGTGTTTGCCTGCATGTATGTATGTATACTACATGTATGCAGGAGCCTATGGAGTCTGAAGAAGGCACTGGATCCCTTGGGACTGTAGTTACTAATGTTTGTGGTGCCATGGGTGCTGGGCCCCAGAAAATGCTCTTAACTACTAGGCTATCTCACCAACCTCAGATCTAATTTTATTTCCTCCTCTTCCTCCTCTTCTCATCTTCTCCTTCTTGTTATTATTATCATTGTTGTCATTGGTGTGTGTGTGTGTGTGTGTGTGTGTGTGTGTGTGCGCGCATGTGTGTGGGCCTTTGGCACAGGGTTGCTTTCCTGAACTCTGAATTTTTACTGAACAGAGCCAGCCTCAGTGGCCACAAAGCTGACCCTTTTGTCTCATCTGAAGTCAGTTCTCAGCTGAAGTCAGTTCTTCGATGCTAGCCCTTTCTGGGGCGGGAGAACTGATTGACTCTATTCACGTCTATGGACTGAGGTCGTTAGACAGTTTGGGGCACGTGACCTTCAGGATGACATGTGTGTTGTAAGATCACAAGTCTTTGAAGGAAGCCTGGACCCAGAGCCTTCACCGTCAAGTGAGGAAACGGGTCTAAGGCGGGCAGGGACAAGGTGACACTTACAGCCTTTCTGACTAGTGTGGGAACCACTGCCCAACCTGCGATTCTGGAGGGTTGAAAAGTGCCCCAAAAAGTGAGGTGCTAATAACATTAAAAAATGCACTATATTATGAGGCTTACTACAAAGAAAGAATGTAGAAATAATAATTTCTTGTTGTTTATAAAGTCAAAATGATGATCAGATACATTTAGATTAACATAAAATACATTATTAAATTAATCTTTTTCTTTTTACTTATTTTAATGTGGCTACTAGAAATTTCACATTAGTGACATAGCTGTAACTGTGTTGTTAGGTAAGAGGTTCAGAGTGGAGTCTAGGGCCTGAGGCCTGCTAACAAACATCAGACAATTGTAACAATATCATCTTTATTTTAATTTCTTTCTTGAAGAAGTTTTACACATGACTATAGAGCAGAGACATTCAGGACAAAAGGCTGTACTGTTGATACCTGGGCTGGTACCCAGGATCATTTGGGGGCTGTGAACATGGAGGAGGCATACATCAAAGGCCTGGTGTCCCATAAAACTTTCTGTACCATCCAGAGGACAAGCTTGACAAATACACCGTGTTGACAGTAAGTATGTCTTTAGAAAACTGACATTCCCTTGTCCTGTTTGCTTCTGACAAGTTTCCATCATTCTTAGCTGAACCAACATCAAGGATAGCTAATATTTTAAAACCGAGAATTCAGATATGTGCTGTGATTCCCTGGAAGCCAGAGCTGCCTTTGCAGAGCATGACAGAGCCATAGCATTACGTTAGTAACAGCTGCCTCATCAAGCCATGGAAACTGCTGGTGTTAAGAATTGAGGTTTTTTTCTTTTACAAGGTTTGGTGACATCTCCGCTTACACAATGCTACAGGAGCTTTACTAGCGGCTCACCAGAGCAGTGGCAAGTGGACTTGTCTTTTAGGTGCAGGTAACCTCCAACCTTCCAGTTAGGGAGGATGCTGAGAAGTGCAGACAGCTAGACCTTCCACCTGCAGCCCAGACTTATTCCCCAGACCCACCTCTGTGCTCCTCTGTTTGGCTGCTCAGAAGGTCTGCACATTTCGTCTCTTCTTTCTGTATTTCCAGATGAAAGCGACATTCTGGATGGATGCTGCTCACCTGTTCAAGTTAAAGAAATAGAATAACTAAAAACTACACAAGAGGAAGTAAGCAAAAATCTACAAGAAGACCCAAAGCCTTACAGTTCTACATTTCTTTCAAGCTGACATTCATTTTAAAGTAGCCATTTTCATTTTCCTGGTGTGGTTATTTTAAAAAAGAACAACTTCACTATTTTGTGAAACAAACATAAAATCCAGCAGAATACTTTTCCTGAGTAGGAAAGTAAACGGGCATTCTGTGTTGTATGTTGTAATTGCTAACTTAAGAGCAACTGGGCTGTAGAAATTCATACTCTCTCAGGATTGAAGAGCTCCCATTTCACAGCCTGTGGTTGCTGAACTACAGCAAGTTAACTCTTAGTGGCTGTGAGCTGTGTGCAGTTGCTCTGTGCACCCGAGGACCCCCTCTCTGGTCACCCCAGAGTCAGAATAGCCCAAGTGAATTTTCACAAGCTTCAGGACACATTAGAAACACAACCCTATGAGTACAGATGACATTGCTGTCATTTTGAAGTTTGGTGTGAAGCACCTTCTAAAAAAAAAAACGAGAGGGATTAAAAGGAAGAGGTGGAGCTGAAGAGAAACACACTGATCCCAAGGAGCCATGGGAGGTTTCCGATAAAGCTTTCTTAGGGTCCTTAGACACTGTAGAAGCAGACATCAAGGAAAGAGAGGAAAGAGAATCATGAGCTCTCAGCACAGAAGACAACCTTCTCTGATCTGTGTCCTCCTAAGCTGGGCTGCCTGTGGAGCACTTGTCTCTTAGTTTTTCTCCCTCTATGTCTCAGTTCCTCCCTGTCTTCACAAAAACTTGCTTTTATAAGACAGCAATGAAAAGGAACTCTGCTCAGTTAGGTGTGGCTATCTGTGTTTGGTTATCCTACTGTTGATATAGGTCAGCTAGCATTCCAACAAGGCATACGATTTCCTGACAGACTCAAAGGAAGAAACCCAATGTCAGATTTCCCTTTAAAGACCACCTGAGAGGCCTTAGACCTCCAAAATGTAGAGATCCCTTATGCCAAGCAACAGCAACTCATTGATCTCAGTTTCAGAACTGATGAAATGGTAACTTAAGGCGCTACAAGCAGTGCGATCTCTGACACTCCTGGAACAGAGGGAACAATAAGGAATGTGGGACATCTGAGAGGTTAAGGTGGATGGAGCCCCGAGGCTTCCCCACCACCCTTGTGGAGCTCCCTCAGCTGCCCGTGGGGGCGGAGAAGATGCGCTCCAGAAAACCGAAATTTCATCAACAATGACGGATGGATTTCCTCGAACAATCCCCCCCTCTTTTGCTGCACACGTTTAGCTTAGTTGGCGCCCTCAGCCTGGAGGCCTAAGCGTGGAAACCTTGCACAGGGACACAGTTCTCAGAAAAAGCAAGAAATAAGGCTCACACCTTTCTTTTCTTTCTTAAGAAAGATTTTCAAGTAAAGGATAGAGTTCCAGAGAACTAAATAAAACCCATGCAACCCATGTAGTGAACTTCATTTTAGGGGTTCCTTTGGATCGCTTAGGGGGAAAAAAAGAGTATTTCCAAAATGAAACTTTCTTAGTCACACCACGTTCCCTCTGTCACATACTAAACAAACACAAGGACCAGGAGGTGGAAAGAGAAATATTTAACCACAGAGCAACTGCAGTTTCCCTCGGAAGCGAAGCCAGAGCAGGTGGCCTGGGCAGCTGCCACTCTGCTTGCAGGGTGCTAGGGGTGCCCCCAACTCCAGGCGCACTGTCAGACCAGGTCCCAGATCGTCTCCGGGGAGTCAAGGAGAACCTGGGCCCCACTTCTGGCAAACCCGCGACGGAGGTGAGAATAGGAAAAGTGCCAATGAGTCCAGCAAGCCAAGGATTAGGTAAGGCTACAGTAGGACGCCTGGGGTCCCGTGCATTCTGCTCTGGATCGTCCCCGCGGGCTCCACGCTCCACCCGCTCGTGCTGGGACTCGGGAGGTGAGCGCAGCGGTCCACTGCAGGACGCACCTCTTCGGGAAGGGGGCGCGGGTTCACTCACCGGCATCAGCAGCCAGCAGTAGCAGGTCAGCAGCACCGACGCCCTCATCTTGGGCTCAGTGCGCCGCCTTGGTCCGAAGCGTCCACAGCAGCCTCGGCCCCAGCTTGGGGCCTCCCAGGGCAGATTTCCTCAGTCTCGCGCCTAACTCCCTCTCCGCCTTCCAGGCTGCGAGTCTCGGCCCCGCCCCTCCGCCCAGTCCCCGCCTCGCGCCCCTTCTCCTTTCCGCAGAACCTCTCCCTGGCACTGAGGTCCACTAGGTCTCAGTCCAAGCTTTCCTCCCTCCACCTCCGCTCACTCCCAGCGGTGCTGAGCCCTGAGCCTCACCTCAAGACCCTCCTGGCCCGGGTACTTCCCTCGTCAACCCTGCTCTCTCGTGCGCCCCTTCCTGCTGGGCTCCCCTTGCTAGCCCTGCTGCCCTGCGACCCCAATGTGGGCTGGCTGCCTTGCCCACGGCTTTGGAGGGCTGGAGGCTCAGGTAAGCAGATGCTCACGACTAAGGGCATCGCCCACCCTCAGGTAAGGGAACTTGAGCGCTGCTGAGGCGGCACCGACTTCCTGTGAATGAGACGTCTGCATGCAGCTCAAGGAAGAACCCCAGAAAGCAGGCTGGGCGCCCATGGCGGGGGCTGCCGTGGTGTGAGCGAAGAGAAAGAAGGAAACTCTCCTATGGTTTCCCTTGGAGAGCTCAACAGCCGGTTAAACGGAAAGTAGGAACTTCACCGAGGCAAAAGTGGGTCTGCCCATGGGCGCCGGAAGTGTCTCCGCAGACCCACTGGACACCAGGCCCATGGGGACACTGCCACTGCTCAGCTGCGGCTCGGCTCTCCACAGGCCAGTCTAGGGAAGAGTAGAAAGTTACCAGCAGACAATAGCACCAGATAAACTAAAGCAGGTTTAAAGAGTTTTAAACCTCCTATTCAGGTGTAACTTTAAACCCCAAGTCAGAAGACTAGAAGTAGTAGAAAATGCACCCTTCACACTTTGGGGTGCCTGTCTGGCCACTAGCTTTCTTCTCATTAAGTTGATCACGTGCTCTATGACACTAGAGCCCCATGCACCCGAGGGCCTAGGCTTCTATCTGCTGTGCGGCATGCCTCCATCGTCTGTGTATCTGTCCGTGTCTATCCATCGGGGAATCATAAAGAAGGAGAAGGTCTGGACACTAGGTCTGCAGGCTGAGGTCTGGAAGCTTGGGCTCTGGCTGGGTCCACAAACACTCACCGTTATTCCAGCCAGTGAACCTGATCCACCTGCACACTTGTAAGTCACAACCATGGCCCCTGTCCTTCCACCCCAGAGGGTCACAGTAAGGACTAGGAGAGCTGATACATGTGAATAGTTGTGAGGGCCTGCCCTCCAAAACCACGGCTGGATATTCTGGGTCAAAAGACGGGTGAGATGCCAGGGTTCGTCCCCACAGTGCTCCGCCCACAGCCACGGAGTATGTGATGATGTGAAGTGATAGCTCTGACAACGAGGAGATACAGGCAGGGGGAAACAAGAGGGCCTTGACCTTCCTGGGGGTCCCAAAGAGACTGGTCGCCAGTGCCGGTGAAGGTTCCTCAGATAGAACTTTAGAAAGGAGTGTCCTACACAACATGCCATGCCATGGTCAGTGCTGGGGCAGCTCAGAAAATCAAGCACGGAGGCCCTGACACACAGTAGGAGTAGGGTCATTGCTGTCTAGAGCTCTTGGCTCATCCTCAGAAAGGACACCCGTAGAGGCTCCCTAGCCTGGCCTTCTGGCTGCCTGAAGTCACACTGCTAATGAAAGACTGAGCTGAGTTTTTGTCAATGAGACTTTACCCTTTACCCTGTCTTTCAAGGTCTCTTTATTCTCCTTTCCAAGCCACCCCCATTGGGGTAAGCAGAGAGAAAGACAGAGAGAGAGAGAGAGAGAGAGAGAGAGAGAGAGAGAGAGAGAGAGAGAGAGAGAGAGAGAGAGAAGGAGAAGGAGAGAAGGAGAGAGAGACACCCAGAGAAAGAAGCCAGGCAGACACCAGACAGACATAGAGAAGCAGAAGTAAGAAAGGTACTACACACCAAGGCAAAAGGTAGATAAAGAAAAACAGGTTAATCTAAAAGAACTTGCCAGAAACGTGCCTAAGCATTCAGAACTAATAATATGTCTCTGTGTCATGATTTGGGAGCTGGTTGGTGGCTCCAAAGAAAAAGCCTGGTACAGAGCCCCCCTTGTACCTATGGGTGAGTCTACTTGGGTCTATATGGGACCTCACACTATTCAGAGCTGGGATCTGAACCTGAGTCTCAGCCTTGGTTTAGCTGTGCCCTCCAGCATCCCTCCAACTGCTCTGACCACTCCCCCTCATCCTCTCCACCTACTGATATCTGGGCACCTTATCCCTTCCACACTGACATCCTCTTGAATGTTGGGCAGTTTCCTGGTACCTTCTGGCACCTAAGTGGCTGCTCTGGTTTCCAGACTAAGAAGCCACAGGCTTTCAGTCCTTGTTATCATAGAGGCTCCTTATACCCCAAAGCAGCATTTGGGGCAATGCTTTTCATATACCATTTTAATGAACCCTCTTGTTCTCTTAGGATGTGGTCACTGATTTCTTTTCCTTTTGTGCCAGTGAAGTTTAGTCTCAGCTGTCATGGCCAACCCTGAGGGCTTAGATCCTTTGTGATCAGCTAGCACTCTCCAAGTGCTTCCCTACATGGAGCTTATTCAGTGAAACTTATCAGAAACATTAGAAGCGTATATGCACACATACAAAGAGGATCCTCAGGAAATGACAGATGACACCCACTAACATCCGCTGACTCTTGCTCTGTTTTCTTATCTACGAGGGCTTTGTGTTCAACTAAAATCTTCAACAACAAGAAAGAATGAAAGTGATTGTTTCAACGCTATTTGTCTTACTTTTACAAAATGAAATTCTTTCTCAGTGCTTCTTTCTGACACCACCCCGTAATGAGGGGAGCAATTTCAGGGGAGAACATAAACTGAATCTATTTGCTGTGCCTAGAGGGGATGGTTATGAAAGACACATGACCTATTAGGAGGTACAACTACAGCCATCTCCAGGGTTCTGCACCTCTCATGTGCAGAGAAGGAAAACAACACTACTGATTTGTAAAGCGCAAACCTCCTCCTTTGCAAAATGTATTAGATGATGGGTTGATGGCTCATCCTGGCTCCGTTAATATCCTGAAAAGCAAACTAAATTCTTGTTTAAAATGTAAGATTTATATTTCATATTGGTTATGGGTCTTGAAAATGTAAAATGAAAACATAAGAGAGTTTTACCTACTATTCTGTCAGAGCTGGGGGAAAACAGCCTTATAATTCATTTTATTGCACAAATTTGAAAGGCAAGACTTCATGCCTGTTTTTACAGTGGAAGTTGATGAACGGAGCCTGTTTCCAGGCCTATTTCTCCTCACTTGAGGTTTGACCCACTCAGGGTGAGTTCTAGGAGGGGAGCAGCTCATAGTACCTATAGAAATTTTAACTTTTCTTATAGTAAGTTTAATATCAACCTATTAATACATGTGTGTTGAGCACACATACCTTTCCAGATTCTGAGCCCAATCCTCCCTTCATGGTCAGAGTTCTTGGGAAAGGGGGCAGAACCAAAAAGAGGGAAAAAGAAATCCTCTCGGGCGCTGCCTCACCTGAGTATGGCAGCCGCAAAGCCCACAACCAAGCTGTCTACAATCTGGAGAAGCAGGAAAGCTGGTGTAATGTCCAAAGGCCTCAGATCCAGTAAAACATATGGTGCAATTCTTAGATCAGGCAAAGGATTGAGAGGTGGTGGGTCCTAGAGTCCAAATCCTCAAGAACCTGGAGTTCTGATGTCCAAGGCAGGGGATGCTGCTCCTGAAGAGAAAGCAATAATTCATCTTTTCTTTGGAGTTTTGGTTCATTTGGGCTCCAGCTAACCAATGGTACCACACACACAGACAGTGGGTCTTCCCACTTAGCCCCAGGCTCAAACTGTTATCCAAAACACCCAATGACAAATCCAGGCGTGATGCTCACCAGCTGTCTGCGTTTTCCTCAACCCAGCTACATTGACTACTGACATTCACCCTCACACGTGTCCCATGTTGAATTAGAATGGGAGAAACTTTTGTTCTCCATCTTTTTGCAGGTGTTTTTACTAAGGCTCGGGGCCTTTCTGTTTTCAATGACATGGAGCACTTCTTGTACACAGAACTCGGAACTCGGAGTACTTCCTGAACATGGAACAAGGAACTTGGATGCCTACATGGGAAGAGGGTTAAAATGAGAGTGTGAGAGAACACTGTAAGGAAAAACTCAAATTTTAAGTTCATGTAATCCACCAGTGAGGAGTTTTTATTGAAAAATAGCAGATGGTAAATTCTCTTCTCAAATCATTAGAGGAGAAGGCAGCTTGAACTCCAGGAATCGGGGGTAGGGTGGAGGTGTGCCATGGCTGCAATCCTCTACAGCCTCCTCTTGTCGCCAGATCTGAGCTCATGTACTCTGGTTCAGGTTCAACTCAATTGTGTAATTGTCCGTACTAAAAAATAGCATTGCTCTTCAAAATTTGAAGTTGAAGCATAGGTTATGCAGAATAAATAGCACAGTTCTTAGCTAAGTTTTTCCTACACACACGCCAGAGGAGGCACATTCTACGTGAAGATTCAGTGTGTTCCAGAATCCGGGGGCTCCTTCTCCTATCTCCAAGGCATTGCATGGTCCCTTCCATACACCTGTGGGCTATTTTGTTATTGTTAGAGTTGTTTGTGTTTGTATTTTTTTAAAAGGCAGTCTCATATTGACCTCAAACTCCATCCTACATTAAGCTAAGACTGACTATGAATTTTTCATCTGTCTTCCTCCATCTCCCGAGCACTGGGATTACAAATGTGTGCCTCTATGACTAACCATATAGCTATGGTTTACACTTGAAAATCACTGCACCTGAGCCTACCAAGAAGCCAGCATGAGTGAAGCCAGCAGAGGACTGTGGTGTTTCTGCTTCTGCCATTTGACATGTGCTGATTTGCACAGAGCTCTTATACTGTTTCAATTTCACAGGCCACCATGAGTTTGCAAACTTGCTGAGAGCCTGTGACCTGCATTTATTTCCTTGTCCCCGAGGCACCTGAGTAGAGCTTGGGTATGGTGATAGTGGCTGGAGTGTTAACT